GTGACACAGTTACAGGCACTTTACTGGGCTGAATCTCTAGAAGTCCCTCTCCTAGTCCTAGCTGCTGTAACTGGACACAACTCTCTTTAGGTTCAAACAAAACTAAAGATTCACTTGGGTCGAGCTGAGGTGGAACTTTACGCCTTACCCAGGTAGTATTACCTGCTGGGATTATTGTGTCTTTGTAAACTACCCTTAAATGCCCCTGGGTTGTGTTCTCCTGACGTGTCTGGATGAAGCCTTGTGCTACATCTACTGGAATAGTCAGTGCTCCCCCAAGTAGTTTAGCTAAATTAGAGGCAACTTGCCCTGGGCTTTCCCAAATTAGCACTTTCAATTCAATTCAGTTTATTTATATAGCACCAAGTCACAACAGAACATTCCACAACATTAAACCCTAAGAGTGGTGTGTCTAAAGGCTGGGCTGAGGAGAAATGGTATGTTCATAGAAAACTCTGTATCATCATTGTCTGGTAGGTTTACATTTAATATTACCTACCCATCAAAAGGAAGACATTCCCCATTAACTGCATAAATCATTGGCACTTCCCATAGTCTGGTAACATAGTCAGTGTGAACTGTGGCCATTGGGGAGGTGTAAACCAGCCTCACCCATGATATTTGGGACCAAATTTAAATAACGTTAAAGTCTCATAAAGATAATCCCATTCCACCCAGTCAAATGCCTTCTCAACGTCTAATGGGAGAAGCCCCAGGTGTGATCGAGCAGACTAGGAGTGTACAGCACAACAAGCAGCCACCTAACATTGAAGAAACTTGACGTTTTTAACAAACCCCATCTGTTCAGATGGAACAATTGTGGGGATCATCTGCTCAAGTTGTTTTGCCACAACATTTGCAAGGATTTTTACATCAGTATTTAAAAGCGAGATAGGTGAGATGAGCCACAGTTTAGATTATTTTTGTGCTTCTTGGGTAACAGTGAGATTTTAGCTTGGCACAATGACTGTGGCAATCTCTGTGCAGCAAGTGACTCTTCAAACACAGATGTTAATAAAGTGAGAGTAGATTTGAACATTTCTTAAAAACTCAGGTGGGAAGCCATCTGGTCCATGGAATTTCCCATTTTGCATATTGTTGATCATGGAGTTTATCTCAGCTACAGAGAACTCCTTCTCCAAATCTCCAGCAAGATCAAGATTCAATGAAGGAAGTTTAAGATCTTAATAAAAGTTCTCTAAGTCCTATAAGCTAGCTGATGACTTAGTCATACACAATGACTGGTAAAATTTACACAATGACTAGTAAAATTTACTAAAATGTATTAATTCCAGCATTATCGTGACTTACAGCTTCCTGGTTGTTATTTATTACTGGAATAGTTTGGTTGGCTGACTGTCGCTGTAGATGATGCACAAGCAACCACCCAGCCCTTTCATCATGTTCATAGTAACCCTGTCTAGATTTAGAAATTAAATATTCTGCCTGCTGAGTAGACGAATTATTAAATTCAGTTTGGAGTAAAAAGTTTTTTTTTTTTTTCTTCTTTTCATTAGATTCTGTGAGGGGAAGTGGCTATGTTCTCTGTCTAAATGTAATATCTAATCCGTTGACTGTCCTAGCCATACCAAACCCTTCTTTTTTTTGTTTGCACAAGAAGAAATTATTTGACCCCTCAGGAAGCCTTTAATGCCTCCCAGACAGTAAAGCCGTGCAGGAAAAAGAAGTCCATCCCGGACACCTGGTCAGTTTCGCAGGAGTCTCCTCACCTTTGTGAACGCCTCTCATGCCTTTGCCACGCTTGGGGTGTAATCAGCTGTGATGAATATGGATGATTCTTTGAAGTGGATCTGGCCAGCGCTGCATGCTCGTTGTAATATTTCCACACAATCTTGTTAATAATCCAGCCTGGGCACGATGGCTATTGATTTATCATCCAAGCCTCTCCTGCTCGGCGTCCGGTACACATGGTCGATCAGCGAATACTTGTCCAGCCTCAGCACCTCCGTTAGCATCTTGGCTATCATTATAGGGGTGCAAAAATCCGGCAATTCGGGAACTCCAATAATCCTAATATTGTTCAGTTTTATATGCCCTTCCATGGATTTAAGCCTTTTTCTCAACCCATCCACCTCATTTTTCAATTCCACCATGATCCCACATAGAGCCTCCACCTCATCTGAGCATATTGACAGCCCGTTTTCAGCCTCTGTTACACTTAGCTTGACTTGGTCAAACTTTGATCTGGCCCCGCAGTGTTATTAGCAAGCACCACTCTGAATGCCTACAGGTCACTCTTAATAAAAATTAAAATCATCTGTCAGAGCCTCCTTTATCTCCATCCTAATTATCGCAGTGCCTTCAGATTTAATTGAAATCAGAATATCTGTCTTCAGAGCCATCTCGACCATCCCTCCAGAGCCCGGGGAGGGCGGGGCCGACGCACCGCGGTCCAAGGCTGCAGCTGTGTCAACAGGCTGTCACAGTCTGTCCCTTAGCTGTCTGGTATTTCTGTGTCTTCCCCTTTCTGCTTATTTTTTATTTAATTCTGCCCCTTCTGCATTTTGTTTTCTGCTTCTTATACTTTTCATTCTGCCCCTTGTGTGATTTTGTTCCCCTGTATTTGATTCTGTTGTCACTTTCCACTCACTCCTCAGTCTGCCTCTCCAGTCTCCAGTCCTCAGTCTTTATCATTCACACCTGTCCCTCATCAGCCACCTGCCCAGGTGCTCTCATTACTCGCTCTCCCTCTGTCTTATAAAAAGCCTTTCTCTCCTCCACTCCTCATCCGGTCATTGTTCTGTTTACTCAGACGACTCTGTCCTCCGTGAGTTTTGCGCCTGTCCGCTTCGTGATCTGTACCCGTCCTGATTTACCTGACTGTTCCTGTTTTTGTAAGTTTTTGCTGCCACGCCAGCATTTGGTTTTGTTGTTTAAAATAAATAATTTTTATTTTAAACTTCTGCTTCGCTCTCCTGCCTGCAAATGGGTCTAAAACACGAGGATTGTGGTACAGGCCATGCAGGCAAAGACCCCACCAGTTTAGATCTTTTATTTTTTTTAATTTAGAGGCCATATTACAGCTCTGTTGAATCAATCCTGCAAGGCACCAATCTCAGAGGAAGAATCCAACATGGAGGCAGCAAGAATATAATTATAAAAGACGTTTTTACAGGCAGGGATGATGGGAGCCTAGCAGAACGCAGCTTAACGAACCGCAGCCATCTTGTACCTGAAATGCTGACATTAGAGTTTACACTATATGAACTAGCAGAGAAAACAACTGGACTCAGTTATAATGTACAAAGGGATGGAAGAGGAATAGCATTTTGTTTGACTATAACAAGCAGAGCTTGCAAAGATATGCTAACTAGAGAAAATAATAATAATAAACAAAAAAATTGCAACAATTGTGTAACACCTGCTAAATTTATTAAATCTTTACAAACTTTCATGTAAAATGTATGGTGCGAGTTACCTCCATGACTAGTTTTATCACAGGTTAGGCTGCTGCAGAACATTATCTGACATTCATATTTGTAAACCATTTATTGAACATCAAACCACATTCAACTGAAGGTTCTGTCATTCTGCAACTAATACGTTTTTGACTTGTTTCACTCTACCTCTGTATACAGTATATCATGTTTCCCTCCTTTACTTGTCTTTTCCTCTTTCCCTGGACACCAGGGAGCTTTGGTTGTTTAGATATTATTTGGCACTTTTCGCTCACTTGAATCAAAGCTGGACCCGTGAGGTACAAGACGGAGGGCGGAAAAGATAACTGGTGGAGGAGCAGCAGATCTATTCTGATTCTCTCTTGGATTACTGAATCTCGTTTCTAAGGGAGAGTCCAGCTACCCTGCAGAGGAAACATATTTCAACTGCCTGTATTCACAATCTCATTCTTTCAGTCACTACCCATAGTTCGCAGCCATAGATGAGGGTAGGAACGTAGACGGACCGGTAAACAGAGAGCTTTGCCTGACAGCTCAGCTCCCTATTCACCACAAAGGACCGGCACGGTCTATAATACTGCAGACACTGCACCAATCAGTCTGTTAATCTCACGCTCCATTCTTCCCTCACTCGTGAACAAAACCCTGAGATACTTGAGGCAGACCCTGACCTTTGACCCAAAGAAGGTAATCCACCATTTTTTGTCTGAGGACCATGGCCTCCCTCAGATTTGGAGGTGCTGATTCTCATCCCAGGTAGCACGGTGGCACAGGTGGTAGAGCTGCCACCTCTCAGAGAGATGGTCCATGGCCTTTCTGGGTGGAGCTTGCATGTTTTCTCCGTGCATGCGTGGGTTTTCTCTGGGTACTCCGGTTTCCTCCCACAGACCAAAAACATGCATGTTAGACTGATTGATAACTCTGAATTGTCCCTAGGTGAGAGAGTGAATGGTTGTTTGTCTCGTTTGTCTCGATGTGTCCCTGTGATGGACTGGAGACCTGTCCAGGGTGTCCCCTGCCTCTCGTACAGTGATGGCTGGACATGGGCACCAGTGACTTCCACGATCCAAAAAGGAAGAAGCGAGAAAGACAATGGATGGATGGATGGATGGATGGATGATCCTCATCCCAGCCATTTCACACTCAGCTATTGTAGTTGTACGTATATAAAGATGATTCATTTCTGTTTTTTTAAATCCGCTGCAGAGTGAAGAAAAAAAACACGTCTGTCAGTCTGAAGGTTGCAGACCCCCATGTCATCTTGTTTATTATCACTATCCTCCTTCTAGCTGAGCAAATATAATTCAATTCAGTTTCTTTCTATAGCTTCAGATCACAACAGAAGTTGTCTCAGGGCACTGAACAGAAACATCCACATGCATTGTACTGTAAAAGCCAATTAGTGGTTGTCTAAGGAACAAAGGATAATAAAAACTAATGTTTAAGACATCTCAAGTATAATTATGTTAATTTTAAAATGCTATTGATGGCATTGCAAGTCACTCATTTACCAGCACAACTCATAAGTTCTAACGCTGATATATACGTTTTTTTTTTTCCTGTTTTCGTTCCTGTCTACAGGCAGCCAGAAATTTGTGATGGAAGGGGAACATCTGGAGCTGACAGCCATTACCAAAGAGCAGTCGGGAACATACGAATGCATCACCTCTAATGATATTGCACACCCCGACATAAGGGCAGTTCGAGTCACAGTGAACTGTAAGGTCCAATCTGTTGTCTTCATAGTCAAACTAGAACGAGACAAATCCATCAAAGCAGAATGAGCCAGGAAATGTTAATGAACTATGACTACAGCGTTTGCACAAGTATTCATCCCCCGGTCATGTTTCAATCGCAACGCCTTACAACAATTTTTTATTCATCTAAAATACTCCAGAATAATGAAGTTAAATTGGAAAATAACTGTTTTAGATGTTCTTTTTTTTTTAATAAAAGCTGAAAAAGGTAGTGTGCATATGTATTCAGCCCCCCAAACTTAACAATGTGTATTTCCACCTTTTGCAGCGTTGCTGGCATCAAATCTCTTCTGGTCCATCTTGGTCCATTTAATTAAAGCTTTTTGTCTTTTCTTAATGACGATCTTATCCAACTCCTTCGGTTTGGATGAGTGCTGCTTGTATCCAATATTCTTTAAATCAAACTAGAGATTCTCATTTCGACTGAGGTCTGGACTTTGACGGGACAATTCCAGGATATTTTACTGGTTCTTCTTAAACCACTGGAATGATTCTTCAACGGTGTGTTTACAGTCATTGCCCTGCTGGATGGTAAACCTCCATGCCAGCCTAAAATCTCTGGAAGACTAGTGTTGTGTTGTTCACAAACAATTTGTTCAAATGAAGAAATTCTTTGAGTGAACGAACTGAACTGAATCACTTTATTAACGGATTTGTTACTTTCTCACTTCAGTTGAGCTCAGCGCGAGCGTACCTGTCGGGAGTGGAACTTCCTCAGTCTGTGACTTGTGACGTGAATCTGAACGACACAATGGCGTGCAGCGTGCGGACGAGGAGGGACTGTTGTTGACGCCTGAACAAATGTGACGTGATTCGTTCACTGCAACTCAACTACATGTGAACGAAACACTCTCTGTCCTGAGGGATTCTAACATTTGCTCCTTGTGGGGACATGCTGTCATGCCATTACAGTAATGGTTTCTGTTTCTCCAAGCTAACGGCTAATGATGAATTGACCCACATGAAAATAAACGCCCCCCCCCATCCCCATTATCTTAACAGACTGAGGTATGCATAAAGTAATGAGAGGTGACAGAAGAAGAGTGAGTGAGATTCACAGCCGGGCAAGCTGTGGCAGAGAGGCAGGAGGCGGGTGACCTGCACTCACACACACCCCTAAAAAAAGTTATCAGAAAGAAAGTGAGACACTGTGAGTGACGATGAACGAGTCAAGAAGAAAAGTGTTGTTTGGACACAATTTAATTGGCTTTCTGCTACAGCTGTGATGTTTATGTACTGATATGTATTTTTTAATTTCCCTGTCGTTTTTTTACATTAATTGATGAACTCTGCAATGTTTAATTTTTATTTCAATCGTTTCAATAGACCCCATGCTCTGTGTCCTTAGTAAAGTATTAACAATAATGGTAATAATAAACAAAAAAGGACTTGGGATTACGTTTAGTGAATGTGCTTCTTACTGCTGTAACGTTGTCACTCCTGGACATAGGCTGCACAGAGAGGGCAGTGTCAGAGAGGGCAGTCCGTCAGAGAGGCCAGTGGCAGAGAGGGCAGTCCGTCAGAGAGGGCAGTCCATCAGAGAGGGCAGTCCGTCAGAGAGGGCAGTCCGTCAGAGAGGGAACTCTGTCAAAGAGGGCA